TTCAGAAGGGTCCTCTGGACTGAGTCCTTTGTCCCTTTGTAGAGAGAGTCAGGGAGAAACTTTAAGGGAATGAATCTCTTAGGGCTGAGCTAACTACCTGCATCCATTCCCTCTCTCTATCTGAGCTCTTCAGAATTCATAGAATCAGCAACATCAGAAGAAACATTTGATAAAATAGTTCTTCTTAGTCAGTATGCTTAAGGAGGTCAGAACGGGGCCCCAAAAAAGACCTCTCAGAAAGCCAAGACATTACCAAGGGTCCAATTCTAACTGAGGATAGACTGAGAAAATTTGTGTTAGTAGTAGGTGTGGGCATGGGGCATATAGACTAACAGTTTCTACTAAGATGCTTATATACCCCAGGGACTGTCCATTCCTGGAGGAAGACAGAATCTTCTGGACTGTGTCAAGGCAGGGGCCCCGGGTGATGTGATACAGAGATTTGGAGCCCAGTTGTGGAGTAACTGTTACTGGCTGTGTGAACCTTGGGAGACTGCCTACCCTCATTGTCGTTAGTTGCAAAATGGGAGTAATAATACCTATCACATCGGACGTATTGAGGACCAAGTGGAAAATGCTTGTGATGCTCTTGGCACAGCGGCTGGCCCTGAATCAACATTCATTTGAGAGTATTCATTGTTATTGGGAGATGATGTAACCTTCCTGATGCCTTGGACTTGAGGGAAAGAAAAATAGCTATAGAGAAAAAATGCTGTCCTAGAGGACTTTGTGATCATAGGCTGGGGAGAAGGACAGGAGGAATAGAATGTTTGCAAACTTTCACTTACATTTGGGAAGAATGAAGTATGGTCCCAGATTTAGCCCAAAGCTGAAAAGTACTGTCTTATTTTCCTGTCGCTGCTGTAAAAAGTCACGACAAGCTTGGTGCTTTAAAGCAACACAGATTTATTCCCTTAACATTCTGGGGTTCAAAAGTCTGTCATAGTCTTATGGGGATAAAATCGTTGGCAGGGCTGGATCCTTCTGGAGTGACCAAGGGAGAGTCCTTTCATTACTTCTTTCAACTTCAGGAGGCCTCTGGCATTCCTTGTCTTGTGGCCCCTTCTTCACACCCCTCCAACCTCCTACTTCCAGCATCACATCGCCTGCTACAGACCCTAATCTTCTTTCTCCCTCTTACAAGGATACTTGTGAACACACTGGACCCACCAGATTGTCCAATCTACTCTCCCCAACTCAGGATCCTTCATCACATCTGCAAAGTGCCTCTTTGCCATTTAAGGTCCATTCACAGGTTCCAGGGATGAGCACTTGGACGTCTTTGAGGACCAGCATTCTGTCAACCACAAGCACCAAAAGTCCAAGCTCCATGGCTTTCCTTAAGGGGAAATGTATTTCATAAATGTCTCCCAAATGTTTTATGTGGCCCAGATAAACTTACCTCCCTCACTCATGCCTAAAGGAATCCATATGTTACCTTGAGTCTGTGATGCCCACATTTGGGCTGGGAGGCTGCCTGGGAGGCTGCCTGACAGGTGCCTGTGTGTGCCTGCTTTTGCTGATTTGCATCCACTCTGATCAGTGGAGCTGCTGAGTCCTCCCCTTGCCTCATCTGGTGGCCTTCTCAAGGGACCCAAGTGGATGGGGCTTGTTTGACTCCCATTTTCCAGCCCTTGAGGAAAAAAATGTTACCTTAAAGCAGACTTTCATTCTAGAACATACCCGAGTAAATTGAATAGATGCTGTTGAGGCAGGACTGCCTTATGACTGTTGTGGGTCCTAGGAGTCTTTTTCCTTTCGTGGGCCTCTTCTTCCATGATTTTTATTAAAATTCCATTTCATGAATGCATTGGTATAAAGATAAATATATTAGTATCATATATCGAAGTATTTTCTTTGGCTTAAAAGTTCATTTATTTTCTTCTCATTTTAAAATGATTTAAACATTTTTGTGGGTCTCTCACGCTTGTGAATCCCAAGCACTACAGCCATTGTGCCTGGTGGGTGAGTCAGCCCTGGTCTGAGGAAGAGGCAATGGGCAATTTGCTTTGCCTTGTGATTCTGGGAGTCTAACAACTCTGGCTGAATGAACATTAACAAGAGTTTTTCCGGAGGGATGCCCTTCATAATTCTAAGGAAATACTTCGTACTTAAGTTTTATGATGATTTTGTTCCACTGCAGTGAGTGCCAATATTTTTTGTTGTTGTTTTTTAAGATACAAGGTTTTAATTCTTTTCAGATTTAATAAAAATATCACTGCATCCAGAATATATGACTTTCTACCAGGTTCCAGGGTACAGTCTACTGCATTTACGCAACAAAACAATGTCTTACTTCTAATAAAACACTCGTTGGGCTATCGACGTTTCTCTGTATTAATTTTACCTGTAACGTACACATAAGATGTTCCACCTCAGAGATATTTTTTATCAATTGTTTCACAGTAATTGTGAACTATGTGGTCACCCTTGCCCCAATCTTTCCTCTTTGGGTGATGCAATAAAGGATGAGGGGAAAAATCTCTTACGGAATTTACTGGACATTCTAGAGGTAAATTTGGAGAAAATGTATTTTTGGTCATTTATTTTTATCAGAGAACAGCTGTCCTCATCCCTTCCTGAATGGAGGGAGAAAAATCTGTGCTCCATAGAGATGGGATGCACAAGTTCCTGCTGGATGCCCACCACGGTGACTCTCTGCTATGTAAATGGATCCTCTCCAGGGAGTAGATAATCGCATGTGTTTGGTGCTGTCTCAACTTAGAGGTCTCTCCAAGGTCAGGCCTCATTCCTGCCTGAGATGACGATGCCTTGGGAAAGGGTGCTTCAACATTCCTGGGACCTTGGGAGCTTCCCCTAGGGTCCTCCTTCAGGGCGCAACTATTTGGTCCTTTCAGAGTTGTAAGAAAAGTTGATTATTCTTCTGGATCAGAGCAATTAGGGGACAAGCCATTGTCTGCACAGGAGCCAGAGTGTACTTGCAAATCATAAACCAGTTAATGTCACTCCCTATTTCACAACCTCCCACGGTCTCCTCCAACGGAGACTAAATCCCAGTTCTTTGATGGCCTGGAACTGTCTTGCCCAGCTACAGCATAAGGCAAGCTGCATGCGAGATTGTAAGTTTTCTAGTAGACACATTACCAAAGTAAGAAATGTGTAAAGTTAGTTGTAATAACATATTTTATTTAACCCAATATATCTGAAATATTATCATTTCAATGTATAATCAACACAAAAATTATTGATGAGCAATTAAAAGAATGTTTTTGTACTAAGTGTTTAAAATCCACTTACAGCCCATCTTCTGTGATCAGTCACATTTCACAAGCTGAATAGTCACATTGACTGGTGGCTGCCATATTGGACAATGCAGGTCTAAGAGATGCTTTAGGGTCTGGCCCCTACCGGCTTCCTCCATCTCACTGTCTAATCCTCATCCTTCTTCACTTTTCTCCACCTGTGCTGTCCTTTTGTTCCTTGAACTGAACAAGCTGCTTCCATCTCAGAACCTTTGCACTTGCCCCTGTATCTTCCTGGAAACACTTTTCCAGCTTCTCCCAGTTATTTGAATAGTCAGCTATTTTTTTTCATCATTGAAATCTCAGTTTAAGTAAGCCTTCTGAAAATTTTTCTGAGCACCTTATCTAAAGTTACAGCCCCATTACCTCTCCCACTGTCTCTGTCGCGTGTCCTCAGTCTTTCATTCTTCATGAGTCACTGGGAGCTGAAATAATCTTTCTCATGTGTTCATTGTCAGTCATTCTCCCAATTTCTTGCTTAGTGTTTACGTAAATAAGTGAAACGTATGTTTCATCCTCCCTTTCATCATCTTTCTGAAGCCCTGGAATAGTGCCCAGCACATAGCAAGGGCCCAGTGCTTGCTGAATCCCTGCATGGGTGAGCTGGGTGCTCCCCCAAAGGCTGTGGAAGAGTGAGGAGCTGCAGCCCCAGGGCAAACATTTGTGGGTGATGCCTGCAGAACCCTCCCTCCCTCTTGTCCTTTCCTCAGTCTTCCACTGTCTGCCTCATCCTGCTCCTTCTGATCTGCTCTTTTACTTCCCATCCTCCATCCCCCTCTTCCTTTCTCTTCACTCCACCCTGCCCCGCGCTGACAATCAGCACCCCTTTTAGACTGAGTCCCATGGTTCTCCTAAGCAGCTCTATGTTGGGGATGAAAAAGGAGAGTGGAGGGTGCCAGCCCTGATTGGAGGAGGGTGAGGAGGGCCCTCGTGGTGCTGCAGGGAGGACGGAGTGGGGGTGGGCTGTCCTGATTCTACACCAACTCCAACACTTCACTTGCTGTTCCCCTGCAGATGCCGTTCACATGGGACATATTTTGGATGGTGTCCCCTGGCGTTGCGCCACAGGGCAGCCCTGGGGTGGGGTGATGATCAGTTGGCGAGTGGGGTCAGGTGAGCTGCAGTGCAGCCCTTGACCTTCTTCCTCCGGCAGCACAGTCCATCCCTGGGAGTCGAGGGGGATTCTGTCTGTACTGGGCACAGACCCTGCACCCAGAGGCATGCGGGCCTCCTCCAAGGTATAAGCCAAGCACAGAGACATCACACTGTTACAGGCTCTTAACATCAGCCCTGATATCAGTTCCCCCACATTGAACCCAGCATATATGGGGTTAAAACTAAAACCCACTACCCCCTTTCCTGCTTCTTTAGCTCCACTCATATGTAAATACCTGTTTCTTTAAACTTGGACTCTTTGAGCTTTACAACTAAATGGGAGTTACAAATTGTTAAAAGCCCAGGTGGCCTGGAGTTGGAGGCGCACTAAAGTTTAGCTCATCATGTGTCCTTGAGTTTGCCAGGAAAGCCGCTGTCTCGAGTATCAAGGAGCGGAGGCTTCCTAGACCTCAACTCCTTGACTCCCTGGCTAGAACCTGCCTCAAACAAGAAGATGAGACAATGGCGAAGGACGCCCACCTGCCATCCTCCTATCTCCCCCGCCCAACCCCCCCCCCCCCCAAACAGCCTCTCAAGGCCAAAGGCAGGCTGGTGGGAAAGCACTCAGCTGCACAAGCTACATGTTCCCCCCTCCCCTACCCAAAACCCCAAATAAAAGTCCCTATCCATTCCTCATCGGGAAGCTAGCAATTTTTGAGGCATGAGCCCTTGCTTTGCTCCCTGTGCCTGGCATAGTAAAAATCTTTCCTCTTCCACTCAAGCCTCTGTTCTCGTTATTTGGATTGGCATCAGGTTCAGAGACCGAACTTTCGGTTACAACACCAGGCTTTCAGCACATTCAGCAGGTGGTGGCAACTGATCATTGTCCAGCCTGAATCTGGGCCAGAGTGTGTACTCCCTCCTCTGACCAGTGGGAAGACTGGTCCAGAAGAGCCTCATCCTGCTGATTTTACTTGCGAGCTCTACAATGCTTTCATTGTGATCAAGTCAATGCCAGTGGGGTTTGAGTGAGTGGAGAAGGCTTCTGCCAGAGAGGGATTCCAGCCGTGCTATGAGGGGAAGGTCTATGAAGGTAGGTGGGTCCTGAGTATTCTCCTTGGGTGACCTGTGCCTCAGGGTAGGATTGGCAGCTTGTATTCAATTTTGAGCATGGTATGAAACACCTATGGGACCACCTGGCAGCCTGGGCCCCAATGACAAGGCAGTGTGGCTGTAGAACCCAGGAAAGTGGCCCCTCAGGATCCCTGGGAGTAAAAGCACATAGGCTTGGAGTTGGTTTCTTTTTTTCCCCTAAACTAGTAAAGCAGTATCAGCTGGTTCTGGTGCTGTGCTAACACTGGCCCTTAACTGTGCCGGTGACCTGTAAAAAAAGAAAAAACGATCTTCTGTTCAGCTCCTGAGGGGGACTGGAATTGGGCTGCTCAAATTTCCTTGAGTGTGCCTGGAGTATGGTAGGTAGAGTTTGGGGAAACTGGGGACAGAAGTCGGAGCAGAGGGGTGGGGCAGGATGGATAGGATAATTTGTAATATTCCCGCTCTGTCCTCTCTTGTGTGGGAGGTGAATTGAACCCTAACATACAGAACATCCAGAGCTCTGCTAGGGAAGCCCACTAGGAGGCCCTACCTCCAGAAGCTCAATCCCAGGAAGCAGATAGACATCCCTACTCAGGAGCATGAGTTCTTGATGGAATGTGCCGTTTTCTCCTCGTTCTTGATTAATTTGTTGATGCAATGATCCTCTGCTTCATTCAAAAATTATTAGTGAGTGCTTGGGGCCCTCCTGTGCTAGGCCTCACACCCATGGGTCTGCAGCACGAGCTTCTGGGGTCTCACTTGCCCTCTTCTCTGCCTTTCTCCAGATGGCACCATTTCCTATGGATACCAAGGTTGTAGTAGCATATGTATTGATGTGACTCTCCTTGATTGCAATATTCCTGAGGATTGAAATGCTGTGATGACTCATCTCTCTGCAACAAGTTCTAAAGACCAGACCCAGCTTTTGCCCTGATCTGGTGGATAAGGTTGATTCGGCATACCTTTCAACTACCACAATCTTCAAGACTGCTGTGACTGGAATACAGCTTCCCTCCAAGAAGTCTCGGACTAGTTCTGTTTTCAGGCCCCAGTTCCTTTTCTTCCCCTCATTGCGAGATGCCCCCAGGATAGTCTTTAAAACCAAAAGAGGTGAAGACTGGTGGGCATAGCTAGGTCCAAGCATACCTTCTCCATCTTCAGTCCCTAATTAAGCGTCACATGGTTGTCGCACAGGAAGGCAGGGTCTGTGAAGACTGTGATGCTTTTAATGCTGGGTGCTCTGGAGGCAGTAGCTGAAGGAAGAGGAAGAGTCTTCAAAAGCCAAAAAGAGTTGGGAGAGTTGGGGGGCCCTAAATGATGTATTAGTTGTGTTGGCTATCTGCTATAACAAAAGTCTCTAAAATGTCAGTGGCTTGAAACAATAAAAAATGATTGCTAACTCATTTCACAATTCAACAAAGTGGTGGTGTTTATTTAGGTACTCAAGCTCCTTCTTTATGACGTCTTTATGTCACCATCTTTCGCACAGTCTCCTAGGTCTCTACAGAAGGGAAAGAAAGCATGGAGACCCACAGGGCCTATTGTGGGGAGAGCTGGAAGTCTTGTACGTATTTTCTACCCACATTCCGCTATCACTTGACACCAACCAAATTGCGAGAATGTAATCTTGCAGTCTGGAATGTAATCTGGTGTGCCCAAGAGAAAAATGGATGGTTTGGTTACCACAGCACAGGGTACCTTGTTCCCTTTCCCCCTCAACTGTTTAGACTTTTCAACTTGCATCTATGATATTTGAGCTCTCTTATGAAGGAAAGAAGAACTCAGCCAATGAGGATTACAAACCACAATGTATTGCTTGAAAGTCAAATGTCTGTGACTTGACCAGATTTCCCAGTTGGATCCTTTCAGAGTCTCTCCGCATGGAGGCTGGAGGCCAGCGTGTCCCACACATGCTCACCAGCCTGTCTCTGGGCATCCGGTGCTGTTCTTCTCCTCCGGTTTCCTTGTTGCTTCCCTCAGTGCTGCTCCAGGGGTCTCAGTGCTCTCTTTCCTGTGGGGACTTCCCTGAGAACCCCAGCATGCCTGTCAGTGATGTCATGTCCTCCTCCCAGAGCAGCCAGTCCTCAAGAGGGGTACTGGCCTCTGTGATTCTCCATCACATGCTATCCTTAAGGGACCAAGCAGACTGTTGTTGGTTCATCTCCATCTGCATTTCTTGTCTCTCCCACTCATCACTTTGTAAAAAAGGCTTATTCAGCTCTGCCTTTAGCCTTTTAATTCACAGGACTCTGTGGGGAGTAAAAAGGTTGTAGGCTTTTAGGGGTGGCCAATTATGGGAAGGTAGATATATATGGGAACTAATGGAACATAAAGGCTACTCAGCAGGTTTTGTTATGTAGATTCCTCCAGGCAGAATAGAATCTGGAGTTGCCATTGGTGATTAAGCATCCTCCTGACCCCCTGCCCCACCCCCCATAGAGAGGGCGAGGCCAGAGAATTTTTCTTGTATTTGCTTCTTCTGAATTGACTTCAGTTCAAAATAATCCTTATGGCAAAGTGACATATTTTGGATTGGCATACTCTGAACTCCTTCAACTCAAAACCATCCAAGTACTGGATAGAATCAGAAAATTCACTGTTCTCTCTCTGCCTTCCTTCATCATTACACTTCCAGGCACCTATCCCAAACTTCCTTTTCCCAGGGCTCCTCTCTGCATATGCAAAATGAGGTCAACAAAATTCCCTTTCCTGGGGATTTCTTATTGAATTTGAGATACTAATTCTTTACATATGATTAGAGCTATAATGTGAAACTCAGATGCTGTGGGCACCATCTTCAGCCATGTGATGGAGAACCAGAGAGAATCCATCTGCAAAGACAGAAGACTGAGGCAAACATGAGAGAGCAGAGGTGTTCATGTATGAAAGCCTGAAGTTCTGACCTCTTTGTCATTCTTGATTTCTTTTTTTTTTTTTCCTGCTTTATCTCCCCAACCCCACCCTGTACATAGTCGTATATCTTAGTTGCAGGTCCTTCTAGTTGTGGGATGTGGGACGCCACCTCAACGTGGCCTGACGAGCGGTGCCATGTCCGCGCCCAGGATCCGAACCCTGGGCTGCCGCAGCGGAGCGTGCGAACTTAACCACTCGGCCATGGAGCCGGCCCCGTCGTTCTTGATTTCTGCATCCCATCTCCCACCCCCAGCTCAGGCCAGGAGAGATTCCTGACAAAGGTGTCTGTCATTGTTCTGAATCTTTATATTCATCCATTTGCTTTCTTATTTCATTTAAGTTAGTTTGACTGGGGCTCATGTTTGGATTTGTGAGAAAGTGAGCTGTAACAGTGGCTGAAAATTCTCTACAATAAATAGCAAAACCCAGCAGTTTCTGGAAAAACAGTCTCAGCTGCCTGGTGGTGTAAGTGAATACACAAAAAAACTGAATCCGTTAAAACTGTTTGGGAAATGCTGGGAGGAAGAGTGAATGCGTGCCTGTAACCTTAGGCCTGGCTTTGTAGGCTGTCCCCGCTTCCACAGAGCGTTTGCCCCACTTAGGATTTATTTCCCCAAAAGAAAGCACTGTGGAAAGGCTGGAACATTTTCATCCTGTAGGAGAGACAGACTTAGAGGAGTGAGGAGGAGAGGCCATGGATCCAGGGCTTAAATCTGTTGGATGAATTGCTTGGTATTAGAGCCATGCCCCCTCTCCACTCCCCAGGGAAGAGCAGTCAGTGTGTGAACAGAACCCAGATGGCTGGAGGTGCCCTCTATGTGGGCAGTCTCTCGGCACATCTGATTGAAAAGAATGAAAACCCTCTCATGTTAATGTAGGTACAGGGGGTTTCCTGTCAGGAGACAGGAGAATTTCCTAGTAACGAGTGTAGAAACGGAGGGAAGCCTCATGGAAGCAGGGAGCATGCCAGGCACCATTTTTGCCTTTCTAATTGTTTTGGGCACAACGGTCAGTCTAGGTCTTGTCACCTCACCTTGAGGAAGAAGATCAGACTCTGCTCCATGAGAAACCTCTCCTTTCACTCAAATTATCTTTTTGGCCAAACCTTTCAGACATTTCCTCCATCCTCCTCTGTAGGCTAGCTGCCATCCTTTCCATTCTCAGGCAGGCATGATTCATGTTAATACTGCCCACACACCTGAGAGGAATCAGAGGGTATGTTCTGAACTCCCTCAGGTCATGGTGGGGTAAGGTGTTTTTTTAGTTGTTCCCTGAAACTTTCCTGCAGAATGTGGGAAACTTGCCTATTCCTAGGAAGGACTGTGAGCACCATGGCCACCAGAAAAGGGAGTGTTGTGGTCTGAATTGGGCCCTAGACATGACTGAGGACCCTCAAAGGAGAAAGAAGGAGGAAGAGGAGGAGACAAAGGAGCATTAAGGGCCCATATTCTATCTACCCAGTCCAGCTTCTGGAAGATGAGGAACCTGAGGATTTGACTGCAGAGAGAGGTCAATGTCTGGATTTTTCAATGTTTCTACTGGAAACGTGGAAACAGAATTTTTCAGAGGAAAGGAACTGACTAGCAGAAGGAGGAATTCCTGAAGTTGGTGGATAAAGAGGAATCAGGAGGGGCTCCACAAGGACTGCTTCCCTGTGCCCCCTCACATTTGCAGTGAGTCCATTCTACAAATCCAACAACAGGAGAAATGTCCATTAGTCATGAGCCTTGAGCAATGTTGCAGAGGGCAAGGGGTCGGCCCCCATGTACATTCAGCAGGGGGAGGGGCAGGGCTCACCTTGAGTCCATGAAGGTGAATTTGCTTTTCCACTCTCCACCCTCCACAGCACCATGGACATTGAAGACTCCTTTTCCAAGCCCAAGTGCGTAATGGGGTCCTGCTCCAGCCTCCTCGGCTCTCCCTAATGCTCAGCTCTTCTCTGGAGCCCGGGCCTTTCCAACACCTTCCCAATGAGAAAATTCAGCCTGTTGTGCACAGCTGCCCTGCTCTACATTTTGGGAAATGAGTCCCAGTGGTTGGGTGGTGGGTGTTGTGAGCTGGAGTAGAGCACTGGAGGAGGCAGGCTCTCAAAACCTGAAAGCCCCACTGTTCACAGAAGAATGGGTTGGTGCACACTCAAGGCCTTGCCCATCTTTCCCACTGGCACTTCTGACTTGTCCTGTGTGTGGGATGCATGTGGCCCAATGGCCAGAAAAGAGGTCTCAGGCACCGAGTGGAAGGTGTTGGCTGTGAGCAGCCTTTGGGATGGAGAAGGAGTGCTGAGAGCAGGATGTGGACAGGGCACCAACTGTGTCTACTACACCCATCATCTCACTCATGCAGCTGTTTCTTCTCCCCAGGCTACTGACTGCAGTCTTCTCAGTTCTGTCTCTTCCTAAGGGCCAAATAGGCTGCTTCTATTCCATCTTACACTCTTCCCTGCAGTGGTCCAGAAAACCACTGGCTTGAGACTTGACAGGCAAATCTTGGAATGAAGTCAGCTGGACGGTGGTGGAATTCTCTTTAGAAAGAAGTAGAGCGCATATGGGATCTAATTCTGGCACACTGAATATCCACTTTTTATCCACATATCTTTGACTGATATTTAAATATTCTACCCCAAGCTTCGTTTCTTCAGCAAAGATGTTGAATATCTTTAGATTGAGTAGATGAGGGAACTAAAGCCTGGAGAAGTGTAAAAGGAATGGAAGCAGATTCCCACCGCGTGCTCTGTCTCCAAGTTCACAAAACTGCCTTCCCATCCTAAAGTTATAGATTTGAGAAGGGATAGGAAAACACTTTCTGTAAAGAGACAAAGATTAAATGTTTTAGGCTTTGTGGGCTATATGGTCTCTGCTGTATGTATTCAACCCTGCCATTTGCAGCCCAAATGCCACCAGAGAATAGATGTAAATGAAGGAGCATGACCGGCTCCTAAAAATACTTTATTCAGGGACACTAAAATTGGAATATCACAGAGTTGTCACATATCACCAAATATTATTCTCCTACTGAATTTTTCCAGCCTTACATTTTACAATAAATGTAAAACTATCATTAGGTCATAGAGCATCAAAAAGCAGGCAGTAGGCTGAACTTGGCCCTGAGGCCACAGGTGTGGATCCCTGTCTTAGAGTGCTCCTGGTGTTGTGTGGGACAAGGAGAGGAATGACGAGAATCACCTCAGGAGTTCGAAGTCTGTGTCAGCATCTGAAATGACTGGAGGAGAAGGGGCCTTAGATGTCATCCGGTGAACATGCTCTGTACTGATGAGGAAACTGAAGCTTACAGAGGTAAACACCAAGTGCACAGAGTTGGAGGTTTTCTCGATAACGCTTTTCTCATTACAACACATGACACTGACTTTTGGAAAATTAACAGCAAAGTAGGATACAAGCAATGAAGTTGTGATGTTTTCAGTGTTGACTGTGTGTGTGTGTTCTAGAAGTTGAGAGAAAACCAAAGGGTGTGGCCCCAAGAAACCACGGAT